TGGCAAACATATAATACTACAGTAATTTTTCCAACTTGGTTCTCCAGGACTTTCAACAATGAGTTGTGGCTTTAGAATAGAGCTCCTTGGTTCTTGATGGTTGTAGAATGATTTTTAACAAGGCCTTTTTGAGGCCATAAAATCATTAGTAGTTTCAATGAAATCCTATAGAGAACCTTCCAACGAGTTGGTATTCGACGAATATGCTACCCTCTTGTTAGTGTTTTTCCATGGTAAATTTTGTTAAAAGGTTGGGGGTTCATTTATGTTCTGGTGCCAAGTGGAGTTGCTGGTAGTGTTATTCCCTTGATTTCCCCATGAAAAATTCAGATGTTGCCGCCAACCAGGGTTGTATGTATTTGAGTAGGGATTATTTTTGTTGTTCCCATTAAAATTCCCCATGTAGTTGGGTTCCTAGTTGTTAGAGGATTCACTCACATAATGAGTGCCACGACATAAAATACATGCAAAAATTGCCACTTTACTTCCTTTACTTCTCTAAGGTCCTTGGCATCCAACTCAAAGGTCCCTTGAGCCTTGCGCCATGTTCCTAGCTTTAAAGAAGAAAACTGAAAATCATTGTTCGATAACCGGTCGAGAATACCAAAGGCTTTTTCAGGTGACTTGTCCAACAAAGTTCCATTTGCTAAGGCATCTAACATCATCCGAGTAAGAACATTAACATCATCGTAAATCATCACAACTTGGGTCCAATCGTGGAATCGATGATTCGTGTATTTGCGTAACAATCCTTTATATTGGTCCCAACACTCATACATTAACTCGTCATCCACCGTTTGAAGAAAAAATACTATGTCATTTCAGAGTTGAGTGTTCATATTGGGCGAATTATACTGCAACAAAAAGCTTTTACATATGTCAGAAGAAGATTCTATTGAGCCAGATGGAACTCCACTTAGCCAAGCCCTTGCTCGTTCACGCAATGAATAGGGAAATAACTTTAGCTTCAGCACATCTTGATGTTTAAATGAATCGCACACCTCTAATAAGGCATAAATATAATGCATGCCATATACGTGAGGCGCACCACCAAATTGTTGATCGAGTTCAACATATTGAACATCACTGGTTTGAGTTCAAAGTGGGTTGTCTGGATTTTAGGTGCCACTATTCCAAGATTTAGATCATCCAAGATAGGAGCAAGGTGATCTCGAATAACATATGGGCCTGCAATAATCCTCGCATTTGGATTTGATGCCGCATTTGGATCTTCAGGATCCTTTACTTGGTCACATTCTTAGTTTTGAATTGCATACATGTTTGTTTGAATACATTGAACTCGTCTTCTTTGTCTGAAATATTGTTTGATCTCATGTACTATAGGCAGTAGTGGTCCTTCAGGTTACCCTCAGGTCAAACACCAATGAAACCTGCAAAGACAAAAAAAATAACAAGTAAAATTATACAAAAATAAAGGAAAAAATATTGTTATAGAATAACTTTTAAAAACACCAATTGCAAATCCCCAACAATGGCACCAAAAACTTGATGTATGTTATGTGTGTTATGAATTGAGCGCAAAGTGTGTGCAAGTATACATAGTCGATCAAGTAATATAGTAGTGAGTGAGTATCGTCTCCACAAGGATTAGAGGGATTTTAAAAGATGTTATAGCAAAAACGGTGTCACTAAGTATATGTATTTATATACGGTGATATAAACAAATGAATAAAGTTTAAAGTAAAATGTGAAGAAAGTTTTATAGAAGTGATGAGGTGAAAAGTAAATTATTATTATGGCAGAAAATTAAAATTGAACTTCGAAGAATGAAATAAGACTTGACAACATCACACAATCAAGCTTCTATAGGGGTAATTGGTTGGGTTTGCTATGACGAAAGTTATCTTATGTTTAGAATGGTCTGAGTATTCTATGCCTATGTTGCCCGATATGATTTACTAACAAACCCACGCCAAATAAATCAGTTCATGGTGGGGCTAAGTCCATCATTCATAAGTACAAAATAAGAGCACAAGGAGAAGAAAACTCCCAAATGATCTGTTGTCGTGAAGCTTTAGACCACTGTTGTGAACCTCTTTAGCAAGATAGCCTCTCTTGAGGTGTTAGTTGCTACCCCCATTGAAGCTCAGCTATGGAGGACACCACGGAAAGGGATGAAAATAAAGAAGATGAAGAAATGGTGAGTTCTCGCCTCCTTGCTTAAGTCACTCCAAAAAGTCATTTTGAATGTAGGGTATCCTTAGGTATTTATAGTGGAGAATATTTCTAGTGTTTTGTGCCCAAAAATTCCCTTTATACCTTAGAAATCACACCCTACATGTGAATATGAGGCAATTGGCAGGTGGTCCCAGAATTATCAGTAGGGCAATGCATTCACGTGAGCCTTGGACATCTAGCAGCTAAATAGTTTTGCACCCATTAATTTGCTGAATAGTTTTGTTGCAACGTGTCCTTTGCTCTAGAATGCTACAAAAAAAATTTTCTCTTTAACTACTCTCATTTCCTGTACATCAACATAAAAAGACCCTTCTCCTCATAGCATCAGTTTGATCAATAAATTTATGTTGCAGCAAGACTTTTCCACCACATGCAACTAAATGACCTAAACACAACTAAATGCTATGAAAATGGATTTTAGACAATCAATAACTTAAGTAAAAAGGCCTTAAAACATAGTTTTTTTACGGAGTTATCACTCCCCCTAAATTTACATATATTTTTTCCTTTCTCAAAATAGAATAAAATAAGTTGTAAAGTATTTGTCCTTCTAACATAAAATATTGCAATAGAATCATCAGCTCCACAACCAACAAAAGTAAATCTCATCTACTAAGATTGTTAGAAGTAGTCCAAATTAAATTGAGTGTCAATTTTTAAAGGTAATATTATATTTAAATAAAAATGGATGTATTTCGAGATTTGAAAGAGCGACATGTTTTGTTATAATTATGTCTTTGAAAGCTTTTAAAATCGTATATTTTATTATTAATTTACTTTAATTTTATTTTTTAGTTTTTACATGTTATTTCATAAAAGATGATAGAACAAATATGCATATTTGATGTTATCATTTATATTTTTAAAATAAATAAATAATAAAGATAAACATATATACAAAACTTAAAGTTGTTAAAAAAATTCGATCTCTGTTAAGATTAAATTTCGACTCCATCCCTAATAACATCATATTCATTGCATGGTCACTGCATTAGCATATAATGAAATGGAACATACTATTTCATTTTTCTTGAGCAATTTCAGAATTAATGGGTGGATGATAATTAAGTGATTAAAAAATAATTGCAAGTTTATTAAAAATTAAGTGACTAAAAATAGACAAAAAGTTGTAAGTTTGGAATTTAATTGTATAATGACTTGGGTATAACAATTAATTATTTGAGTGGTTCAATTATTACTTTTTTTAAGTAAAATGACCCAATTGTAAAATTCCTAATAATAGAATGACTTGTAGTATAATTAAACCATTATTTTAAGGCTTAATGGTATATCGGCCCTTCAAACATTTTTAAAAAGTTAATATGAGCAATATTGTTTTACATTTAATGTAGCTCTTAAATTGAGAATTTTTTTTACTAATAAAATCAAACTTTGACTGTTATGCTATTGACGTGGTGGCTTGTGATTTTGATATAGCGGTTCATAGTAGATGATGACGTGATAAATTAGTTATATTAGTTTTTTTTATCAACCTCGAAGGTCAAATTGATATTTAGAAAGTTCAATGGCATATTTAATTTTTTAAAATATAAAATTATTTAAAATATAAAACACTTATAATTAAAAATTAAACTAATGAAATTAAAAAATATATATTAAAAATACTAACAATATTATTAAAAATTAAAAATATATCAAAAATTATAAAATAATATATTATTAATTATTAAATTTTTAAAAAATTTAAAAAGGCATATACTGCCAGTAATATATACATATATCATATACACACAAAACAAATTAATCATATTCATATACTATAAATAGATTAAACATGATTTAAAAATATTATATATTTTTATATTATAAATGTATACATATTAAACATGATTTCATTATCACATATCATATCATCAATACTTATACAAAGTCTTCTTATTAGATTAATCAAAACTTATAAATTTTATGTCTAAATATAATTAAAAAAATTGTACGTTCTTCTCATTAAAATACACATCTAATCATATTTTAGACAATAGGGGTTATTTGCAAGCTATTGCACATCGTATAATAACCTAACATATGAAACAGTGCTTAAAAATTGTTCGAAATATGATTATATATGCATATACGAATAACTTACAATATTTTCTTATTTATTAATATATTTTTTAAATAATTATTTTTTATTTTAAACATTTTTATTTTTCTAAAATTTTAAACAACCTCTCAAATTTTTTAAAAAACAATTTGATCATCAAATTTAATCAAAAAATTAATTTAACCTTTTTATCCTATCATCATACATCGTAGATCATCATTTTAGTATTGTAAATTACTACATCAATACTATAAATTGTTACATCAATATCGTAAGATCACCATTCAATTTTGTTGGTAAAATGCCAAATTAATTTTTTCTTCTAAAATTCTATAAAAAATTATTAAATTTTAAACATCATATTAAATACAAAAGAATTCAGAACTCACATTATTTTCTTTTTATGAAAAAAAAATTGAGGTTCCGATGCTATTAAGCTTATTTTAATTATCAATTTATGATGGAATTACTATAAGCGTAGTTATAGCCCAAATTTGTGTAAGAATGATTAATCAGAACCGTTAATTTCTATGCCGACAACTTCAGCGTCCGATCGAATCTAACACGTGCGAAGAATGAGACACGCGTAAAGATAACAGCGATCCCTCCAGAAAATGTCAATCAAAGGGAAGGAGGACGAACGAGAACGGGGAAATCAATGCAAATCTTGTACTTCATTTTTTTTTTCGTTCAATTTATTTTCATTTATTGTTTCTCATTTAATGATTTGTTTATATATAAATCGATGAATATATAATTTTTAATTTCTATTTTAAAAATAAATATAAATTCAAAAGAGAGAAAACGAGTAAATGAATGAATGAGAACCTCGCCTTCTTTGTTATCCCTAACTATAGATTCAGCTGTTCTTAATCTTTCCAACATCGCCGATCTCTCCACTCTTCCAGATCATATCGTCATCGATCTCTTCCTGGTAGAACATCCTCTTTCTTTGCATTTTTATTTTTCTCTCTCTCTCTCTTTTTGCCTTGTGGTGTGATGGATTGTTTTATTTGCTTGGTTATTCTGTGTGTGTGGGGGGGGGGTTTCTTGGCTTTTGGATTGATGTGTAGTTTTAAATTCTGGTTTATTTTGTGGGGGTTTTTTTTATGTGAAGCGATGAATTGTTTTGATGTTGGGTTTTGAATTTGTATGTACTGTTGGGTGAACGATTCCTTTGATTTTGATTCCTATGATCTGCATTTTCAAATTTGTTTGATTATTAGTTTTACTTTCTATCTTATAGCGATGAATTGTTTTGATGTTGGGTTTTGAATTTGTATGTACTGTTGGGCAAACGATTGCTTTGATTTTGCATCCTATGATCTGCATTATCAAATTTGTTTGATTATATATATATTTGTTTTCTTCTTTTTTCAAAAAATCTTCATGTTTATATTGTTATTCTTAAATATCGTTCCTGTTTTTTGTTAAATCTTTAAGCTGGATTTTGGTTCGATATCTAGGTCATCGGTGATCTAGATTTGCTTTCTGCTTACATTTTGATATTGGATAAAGCAACATACTAATGGTGGAACTTAAGTTAGAAAGGGCTGATAAACCTTTACTCTTTGTATCTCTTTTGATGCTTCAGTGGGTAGGTAATGTTGTTCTCACGAATCACTTGTATGTGAAGTTACCGCTGCCATTTTTTCACTAAAGTTTCTCTGTTATGAATCTTATCACTTATGGCCATTTTGTTTTTCTTTTCATGTTCCATTGCACATTGCAGATTTTACCTTTTTTTTTTGTTTTTCTTTGTTCATTTCCGCCCCTTGTTTGATGTTTCTCATTTGAATCTTTACCATTTCTCCTTATATCAATTCACATATTTTTATGTTCTTTCTTCTGTCTGACTAGCTTATATTAGGTTTATGAATCCGGCTTATCTCTGTAAACTTTTACATTTTGTTGTTTGAACTTTTGTTTGATTCTAATGGCATTCATGTAGTAAGACATGTTTTCGTGAGTTGGCAGAGAACGTTGAGAGCTGGAAAGTTAAACGAGAGAGTTCTCAAGTTGTTTATAGCTACAGGCAAGGACGACGTCTTTTCTCTCATCCAGGCGCTCCACATTCAAGTCACTGTTACCCCTGTTCTTCCTACCAGTAAGTCATTTCGTAGGAGTTTCAAATGTTCATTTTTCTTTTCCAATGGGTTTTGAGCTGATTTCTACAATGAATTTTTGTTCCCTCTGTAGGATGTTCTGAGAAATTCTGAGATTGGTTTAATCAGTGAAACGCACAAGAGTTACCAGTTGCTTTTCTGAGGCCCTATACTTTGGAATTGGATTGTGGTTTGTATTTGGCAAGATGTCGCTAGCTATTAAGGATGATGAGATTGACATTGTAATAGGAGCAATCCATTCGGATCTGACATCATTCATGAATGAATGGAGACCTATGTACTCTCGATTTCATATCATAATTGTCAAAGACCCTTATTTGAAAGAGGAACTCAAAATACCGGAAGGCTTTAACCTTGACGTCTATGAAAAGAATGACATAGATCGTGTGGTAGGTTCTTCTACTTTGGGTCTCTTCTCTGGCTATGCGTGCAGGTATTTTGGATATCTTGTTTCTCGTAAAAAGTACATTATCTCTGTAGACGATGATTGTCTCCCAGCCCAGGACCCTAAAGGCTTTTTGGTGGATGCTGTTGCCCAGCATATTACCAACCTTACAACCCCAGCCACACCATTCTTTTTCAATACTCTGTATGACCCTTTCACTGAAGGAGCTGATTTTGTTCGTGGTTACCCATTCAGTCTTCGGAGTGGGGTGAAATGTGCTTTTTCGTGTGGACTATGGCTTAACCTGGCCGATCATGATGCACCTACTCAAGCACTCAAAGCAAGGCAAAGGAATTCCCGATATGTTGATGCAGTTATGACTGTCCCAGCCGGGTCCCTGATTCCCATTAGTGGAATCAATATCGCTTTTGATCGGGAAGTGGTAGGACCTGCCTTGGTTCCGGCTTTGAAGTTGGCTGGGGAAGGTAAGTTTAGGTGGGAAACAATGGAAGACATCTGGAGTGGGTTGTGTGTTAAGGTTGCATGTGATCACCTGGGGCTTGGTGTGAAAACCGGACTGCCATACGTGCTGAGAATCGATAGAGGTGATCCTATAGCAAGCTTGAAGAAAGAGTGGGAGGGTGTGAAGCTGATGGAGGAAGTTGTCCCGTTCTTTCAGTCGATAAGGTTGTCAAGGGAAGCTACAACAGTGGCGGACTGTGTAGTTGAGGTGGCAAATGCTGCTAAAGAGCGGCTAGGTTCGACAGACCCCTTGTTTGCTCGTGCTGCTAAAGCAATGCTGGACTGGGTTAATCTCTGGAAATCAGTTGGATCTATCTAATCGCAGCCCCCGGCTGTTTAGGAAGTACCTATTCATGGTGTCAGCGTTTTAACATATATCTACCTCGTTGTTGCAGACATGTCGGCTTTTTCTTAATTTTTGTTATGGCTCTAGAGACACTGTAACTAGTAGTTCAAACCTAGTTGAAATAATTGGATCGAACCGGTCAGTCGTACCAGTTTAACCAAGATCGGTGGCTTGTTCGGTTGGTTGAACCAGAAAACTAAGACTTGTTTGGTCAAGTTGGTTTGATTTTCAGTCTGATTTTCTTGACATTTGGTCACTTAAAACAACTCTTTATATAATCTTTGCAGATTGATGAAACTTGGAACTTGGGTTATTTTCTTGAGTGAATTATTTTATTGCTAATAATGAACTGTTGTTTAGGAGTTTATATATACGTGTAATTAGCCTTTGCTAATAGCAATGAGCCTCGTTAAAAAAAATCCTTTTTAATTTCCTAAGCTTAAATGGAGAAAAAAGTGTGTTCCATAACAATGGCACGAGTCTCAAATAAAAACCCAAAACAACCTTCCCTGAGGAAACCCCGTAACCACTCCACAGGCAGAAATGACCAAACCAGATAGAAGGCAGGGCAGATGATAATTAAACAGAGCTAAGAATACTAAGCTCCACATGGTGCAGACCAGACATAACCCAGGGCAGATGATAATTAAACAGAGCTAAGAATACCAAGTTCCACTTAGTGCAGACCAGACATAACGTCCAAAGCTAGGCCTGAACCACCTTATTAAACAGAGCCAAGAGTATTATTTTCCAAGTAACTTCATATTTATCATTAGGTTAATACTGAACCACCTTATTAAACAAAGCCAAGAGTATTATTTTCCAAGTAACTTCCTATTTATCATTTGGTTAATATATTTTATGTTTTTGTTATCTTTAAGAATATTTTGTCACATTATCTTTAAAATTTTTAGGGTGAATTATATTGGTGATCCCTCTTGTTTTATATTGTCTTATTTTGGTTATTGATTTTTGAAAATGTTATGTTTTGGTCACTTCTATTTTCAATTCGTTTTATTTTAATCACTTGTCACTTTGTTGACGTGATACATTAATAAAAATGATTAAATTTTAATTGAACCATGAATTTTAGATAAAAAAATTAATTTGACCATATACTTTACATAAAATATTATTGTAACTCGTAAACTTTAGATAAAATATCAATTTAATCCTTGAATCTAATAAAAGTTCACATCGTCGATAGTCACTCATTATTGTCATCAATCACCATCAATTATTATAGTCAGTACCATCGATCGCTGTCATTGAATTCTCTAATATATATTGCTTTTCTTTTCTTTTCATTTCCTTACACAATCAAACAATTAGAAAAAATGTCTATTGTAATAAAAAGAAATATGTAAAAAAAGTTCCTCGATGGTCATACAAATTAATCTACGATTTAGAATATCAGGAGGGAGAAAACGAGGAAAATGTAACAAGAGAGCATGAAATTCGTTCAAGAAAATTCAAGTGCGTAGTATTTTTACTAAAAACTAGGAAAATGTCGATACTTGTACTAATACCAAAGATGCTAATGATCTTGCTAAAAAAACGAAGTGACTTTGATATGTTATTCGCAACAACCGATTTTGTCGTGACTTAATAAAAGGTTCCATTCATGCCCAAAGACGTAAAACAATTGTTTGGGAACTGTTTCAAGCAAATGTGCATTCCCCACTATTTTTGGACAGAGTAGACAAACTCCTCCTTTTTCTTTTGATATTTCTGAGCGGTTGAAGCTAATATCGTGAAATTGGATATGTAAAAAATCAATAATTTCTAATTATACAGAAAAAAAAGATCAAAAAAGAGAGGCCAAAAAAGAAAAATACAAAAGAAAGAGAAAATACGGATAGAAATATCATTGTAGTTGCTCAAATAATAAGTGGCTTCGCGCCAATAGCTCAATCAATTCTTAGAAAATATATTATATTACCTTCAATGATAATAGCTAAAGATATTGCCCGTATGTTATTATTTCAATTTCTTGAGTGGTCCAAAGATTTAAAGGATTGGAATCGTTAAATGTATGTTAAATGCACTTACAATGGTGTTCAATTATCCGAAACAGAATTTCCAAAAAAAAAATTATTTAACAGATGATATTCAGATTAAGATCATATTTCCTTTTTGTCTTAAACCTTGGCATAGAGTTAAACTACAACCTCTCATAAAGATCCACTGAAAGAAAGATCAAATTAATGATTTTTTTCTTTTTAATTGCTTTGTTATACCTTTACGAATCATGTATTTTCTTCTTCACATAGTGGACATCTAGTATTTGGGAATAACAACGCTTGAATTTGCTCCCCATTTTCTAAAGTATCCGCCAGTGAAAGTAATCTTTTAGTTTTCTGATAGTTATATCAGTTTATTAATGTATGATGTATTTTGCTGTTGCCTTTTATTTTAGTTCTTGGTTTGAATGTTTCCTTCCATTTGGCTGCAGGTTTAGGTTGCTCAATCTATTGCTTACCATTTTTATTACTTTGTGCTCTGCTTAAGATGGGGAACAAAGGAAGCTGATCTTCTCGTAGAGAAAAAGACTTTCTATTAGAACATGGAGCAATTATAGTTTAACAGTAACTTAGTTTAATCCTTCAGCATGGTAAATTTATTATTATGGTTTATTTTTAAAGGAATTTGAAGGGTTCTAGATGAATTTTATGGAGTTTGGGATATTTTCCGGTGAAATAAATATATGAGTTGTGTTTAGGAAGTCAAAAAAGTGAATTGAAAACTTTAGGGTCCAACGGTCATCAGTAACGACAGTCGACGATGATCGGTGACAACAATTGACGATGATCGATGAAGGTGATGAGTGTCGGGTGAAAACAAGAACTTTGAAAGGCTTTAGAGATCAAATCAATATTTTATCTAAAACACAGTGGTTAAATTAATATTTTACGTAAAGTTTAAAGTTAAATTAATATTTTATTTAAAGTTTAAGATTAAATTAATATTATGTCTAAAATTCAGGGATCAAATTAAAATTTAATCATTTTTAATAACATATCAAGTCAGAAAAGTAACTAGAGTTAACGACTTAATAATGATAAGACGAATCGAAAATAAAATTGATCAAAATATAACTTTTTAAAATTTGTGAAAATTAGACATGCCAAAAACATAAGGGTTTACTCTAAATATTTTTATCATAAAAAAGATCAACAACGTATTTAATCACTCAACTATTATTTTAAATATTATACCTAACGTTATGCCTTGATCATCATCGTTAAAAAATTAATAGTAATACTGATATGTCAACATGACATCATCAATGAAAAATAATAGATTTCCATAGTAGTAGTTCTGTTTATTTTTTTTTAAGAATTGAGGTCACGTTAAAAACCTAATCATATCACAATCAAACTGAGGCTCGATCATGATAGCCAAGGTAAAAAGAGTGCCTAAGAAATCTTTATTAAACAACTCCAAAAAGCAAAGACAATAGTCTTTTAACCATTACAAGGTTACCCCATGAGATCACCCTAAAATGACCTCACATAGACCAAACAACAAATTGTAACACAAAATTACATCCAGTCTAGACCCAAAACCTAACGCTCACTCACTAAGTCGTAGAAAATAAACAGAAAACTTGATTGAAAATAATAAACATACCGATGACATCTATACTCGCATGAAAAAAAAAAGAAAAAAAGTTAGCCATCCTAGTTCAACTTCCTATCTACTCCTTCTGGAAATTAAGAAAGACAACTTCAAAAATAATTGTTGTTTTTTTTCCAGAACAATGAAACCAAACAAAAAGAATCAGTGTAGATGATCTATCGATAAAGTAGCCATCATTTTCCATAAACACGACACCCATGAAACCAAGCCAGGTAGAATGCAAGACAACCACTCAGCTAGGCATTCACCCAGTCCCCTTTTTAGCATGAAAATTAGCCTTTGTTTTCCTTGGAACATAATGTAACACTAACCGGCCTGCCGATAACAATTCAGAGATGAAGTGCACAATCCTATAAAAATTTTGAGGAGAGCTAAGAGAGTTCAAAATTCACTCGACAACAACCTTTACTTTCCACTATTAATTTGAAATTCTTGAACCAAGCCGATGTTATAGATTGAAAGAAAAGAAAAGGTTTAGGATAAGAATTTAGACGAAAGAGAGAGTTGATAGAGAAGAAAAATGCATCATTCATTTCATAAGGAAAATATTGTTTACACAGCATTTTTATTTTCATACAGGCTGTTACAAGAATCTAACAAATGCCAGCTAGCATTCTTCACTAACAGATTGCCTAACAAACTGATTCTTTTTATCACAGGTTCTGGGCCATCCGGTTGGGCTTATCCTCCTTGTTCTGGCTGACTTTAGCCTGCTTCAACCCATCTGGTAATTTTAATTCTTTTTCCCCTCGTGCTTCATTTCTTTCTTTCAATTCAATTCCCAATTTACTTCCCAGAATCCCTAACCCTCGTTCCTCCTCTATCCCCAATTCATGCTCATTCGAATCCCGCTCACTTCCTCGATCTTCCTTTTCTTCTCCAACTACAACAATACCCACCCCACGAGACGAGCCTTGTCCCCAAGGATCAAACGTAGGAAACTGCCCTCGTAAGACCGAATAATCTTCCCAAGTATCATTTGATTCATCCAGATTTTGCCATCGAACCAAAAGTTGAGTGATTGGTTTTCCATTTCTGTGTGCGATTCGTCTCCCAACAACTTTTAAGGGTTTGATTCGGAACTGACCATCATCTTCTATGGCAGGAGGATCTGTTGCAGCACGCGAGGAGTCCCCGATGAATTTCTTCAAGAGACTGACATGAAATACTGGGTGGAGTCTTGATGAGGCTGGTAAGTCTAATTTATAAGCAACTTCCCCTATCTTTTCCAATACCTTATAGGGGCCATAATATTTAGCTGCTAATTTCAATTTTTTTCACAGGGCAATTGAAGACTGCCTATATGGCTGCAATTTGAGGTAAACCAAATCTCCAACAGAAAAATTTCTTTCTGATCTACCTTTATCTACTTGCTGCTTCATTCTGTTGCTAGCTAATTCCAATTGATTTTTAACCAATTGCCTCATATGTTCTCTGCTATGCATGATTTCACTGACTGACTGTAGAGTAGTATCTGTAGGCCAAACCATAATAGGTGGTTTGTACCCATATAAAGCCTGAAATGGAGTCGGTTTTAAAGTAGTAAGTGGTGTTGTACCACCACTCTGCCTGGGGTAACCATTTAGCCCACTGTCTAGGTTGATATAAACAAATACCCCTTAAATACTGTTCCAAGCATTGATTCACCCTTTCTGTTTGTCCATCCGTTTCAGGATGATAAGCAGTGATGAAAAGGGTCTTAGTACCCAATTGCTTCATCAATTCCTTCCAAAACAAACTAGTAAATGTCTTATCTCTATCAGAGATGGCCATTTGAGGTTGACCATATAATTTATAGACATTGTCTAAGTAGAGTTTAGCTACCTCTACTGCAGAATAAGGATGTGATAGGGGCAGAAAATGACTGTATTTTGTAAACTTATCCACAATAACCAAAATACAGTTTTTCTTAAAAGAAGTAGGCAACCCTTCAATGAAATCCATAGTTATAATCTGCCAACCTTGATTAGGAACAGGAAGGGGCTGTAGCAAACCAGATTTTGCTACATGTTCAACCTTAGTTTGCTGGCAAACTTCACAACATGTTACATAAGTAGCAACCATAGATTTTAGGTTTGGCCAATAAAAATTTGCCCTGATTCTGTAATATGTAGCTTGTGCCTTAGAATGTCCCCCCTGAGCAGAATCATGTAGAGATTGTATAATCTTCACTCTAAGGCTCCCATTAGCTCCAACATAAACTCTCCCATCATATCGAAGAACAGCCTTAGAATATTTCCGCTTACTGTCAGCAGAAGGAGTAATAGTCAGAATTGAAATCCAATTCTGAGCTAAAGAATCACCTTGGTAGCTTTCTTCAATATCTTGAATCCAAGTAGGCACCAAAACTGTCACTCCCATAGCCAAATACTGAGCCTGCTCCCCCCATCTCCTAGATAAAGCATCAGCATCTACAATCAATTTTCCTTTTTTATACTTAATAGTATAGTCTAATCCCAACAGCTTTGTCAACCCTTTTTTCTGAATAGTGGTAGTCAGTTTCTATTCTAGAAGAAACTTTAAAGGCTCATGGTCAGTCTTAATCACAAAAGGTTTACTTTCCAAGTAGTATCTCCATTTAGAAACAGCTAAGAAAATAGTTAGATATTCTCTTTCATAGATAGATAAAGCTGAATGTCTAGGACTTAAAGCTTTACTCAAATAAGCAATAGGCCTACCTTCTTATGACAGAACAGCCCCCACATCTCCAGAACTAGCAATTGTTTCTAGATAAAAGGGCTTAGAAAAATCTGGTAGAGCTAATACTAGAGCAGAACTCATAGCCCTTTTAAGTTCTTCAAAAGCAGAACAAGCAGCAGAAGTCCATTGAAACCCATCATTTTTTAACATCTGTGTCAATGGTCTGCTAATAATGCCATAATTTCTTATAAATCTTCTATAATAACCTGTCAACCCCAAAAATCCTCTAAGAGCTTTGAGGGATTTAGGCTTGGGCCAAGTATGCATAGCTTTCACCTTACTAGGGTCTGTAGACACTCCTGCAGCAGAAATAATATGACCCAGATATTCCACCTTAGTCTGTCCAAAAAAACACTTGGACATTTTTGCAAATAACTGATTCACTGCCAAAACTTCCAAAACAAGCTGTAAATGTTCAACATGTTGTTTCATACTGCCACTGTACACCAGAATATCATCAAAGAAAACTAAAACAAATTTTCTAAGAAAAGAACTGAATAATTCATTCATGAGAGCTTGAAATGTAGCAGGTGCATTAGTAAGGCCAAAAGGCATTACCTTAAACTCATAATACCCCTGATGAGTTCTAAAGGCTGTCTTATATATATCATCTGGTTGAATTCTGATCTGCCAATATCCTAACCTCAAATCAATCTTTGAAAAATAAACTGCCCCATGTAACTCATCCAACAAGTCTTCCACTATAGGAATAGGAAATTTATCTTTGATTGTCAAACTGTTCAGTTTTCTATAGTCCACACAAAACCTCCAAGTACCATCCTTCTTTTTAATAAGAAGGCAAGGAGAGGCAAAAGGACTCCTGCTAGGTTGAATAATAGAAGAAGAAAACATATTAGCTATTTGCTTTTCAACTTCAGTCTTCTGATTGTGAGGAAATCTATAAGGCCTTAGATTAACTGGTGTGGCAGTAGATACCAGTGGAATTGTATGGTCATGTGTCCTCTGAGGAGGTAGTCCTTTAGGTTCAGCAAAAACCTTGTTGTATTTATCCAAGATAGGTTGCAATTCAATAGGAACAGAGAAAGTGTTTCCTGCCATAGTTAATAGGACAATATGGCCCATAACATCAGAATCCCTTGCAGTCATTTTAAGTAATGTAGCTCCTGATATTTGATGTAATTTAGTTGAAGGCTGTTGACCTTGAATACAAATTTGTTCTCCTCCATGATCAAAACTTAAGGTCATATTATTGAAATCCATCAAAATTGGACTGAATAATTTCATCCAATCAACTCCCAAGACCATGTCACTTTCTCCCAATTTAAGCAACCTAAAATCATGTAAAAAAATATGGCCCTGCATTTCCCATTGGACCTTGTTACATCTAGCACAACTGAACAATTGTTGGCCATTAGCCACAGTAATGGCCAAATGATAAGCAGTATTAACTTGTATGCCAGCAGCAGCCCATTTATGAGTCAAGAAACTGTGTGTACTGCCAATGTCAATTAAGATACTCAATGATTTTCCTTGAATAGTGCCCTGGATTCTTAATGTATTATGGCCAATGCAGCCAGTAATAACATTCATATAGATTTCCAGATTCTCCTCTTCTTGTTGTTGAAACTGCTCTGCCTCAGTAGGACATACTTCTACTAGAGAAGTATCAATTTCCTCAGTAATCATATTTAACTGCCTGGTTTTACACTGATGACCTGGAATGTATTTTTCACCACATTTAAAACAGAGATTGTTTTATCTTCTATAATCCATCATATTTTGTTTGGATTTGACATAGAAGTAGGCTTTGTGGCTACTGGTAAGGCATTTGTCTTGGATGTAGGTATGGGTAGGGTGGGACCTTAAAAGAAGGCCTGAATCTTCTACTTTCAAATTCTACTGACAGTTCATATAGCTTGGCTTGTTTACATGCTTCACACAAGCTCTTAGGGTCTAAGGCCTTAACCCTATGCTTAATATCATCTCGGAGTCCACTAATAAAAAGTGACACAAAAAATTCTTCAGTCAAAGTAGGATTCTGTAAAAGAATATAAGGTTGTAGCTCTTCAAACTTCTCATGATAATCCTCTACAGACCCCTTCTGTATCAACTTAGTAAACTCCTCTACAATATCAGAAAATGATCTATCACTAAATCTGTGACAGATATCAGCTTCAAATTCATGCCAATTGACATGGTGTTTCTGCATTATATACCCATCAAACCATATTTCTGCTTTTCCAGTTAAATACATAGTGGCTACCTCCACTCTCTGTTCCATAGGCACACTGCAAATAGAAAAATACTTCAAACATTTATGGATCCACCCTCTAGGATTAACTCCCTCAAAGAAAGGAAGTTCTATTTTTGGTTTGTGCCACATACTTCCTGAACTGTTAAATGAGCCCCCTGTACCCCTTTTTTCAGCTTCCAGTCCCCACATAACAGGTCTAGTGTTACTGTTTTCCCCCATTTGATTCTTAGGCATATAACTGTTCTTAAGGGCTAAACAAGCATCAGGCTTATCCTTCAAAATTCCAGGTTCATCAGTTTTATAGTTGAATCGTGATTTATCCTTCACTACCGTCACCAAAACAGGATTTTTCTCCCCATTTTTAGAGCTATTAGGAGTTTATACCTGATCACCTGCAGATTGCTCTTGTTCACCATTTCTGCCCGTTAAGATCTTCAAAATATCCTCCACATATCCATGATTCGTGTTCATCCTTGCCTCCAGTTCAGTAATCCTATTTTCCTGAGTCTCCCACCATTTAGGTGGATTTGTCTCATTTTGGCCTTGTTTCACCAACGCAGCTAGGTCCTCATCTGTTTCTGAATCCCAGCTAAATCAGTTTTTGCCATAGATTGATTCTTCTTTGGCATGCCCTTAAAAAGTTTTCCTTGCCAGAATCGTAGCTCTGATTACCAATTGTTATAGATTGAAAGAAAAGAAAAGGTTTAGGAGAAGAATTTAGACGAAAGAGAGAGTTGATAGAGAAGAAAAATGCATCATTCATTTCATAAGGAAAATATTGTTTACACAGCAGTTTTATTTTCATACAGGCTGTTACAGGAATCTAACAAATGCCAGCTGGCATTCTTCGCTAACAGATTGCCTAACAAACTGATTCTTTGTTATCACAGGTACTGGGCCATCCGGTTGGGCTTATCCTCCTTGTTCTGGCTGACTTTAGCCTGCTTCAACCCATCAGGTAATTTTAATTCTTTTTCCCCTCGTGCTTCATTTCTTTCTTTCAATTCAATTCCCAATTTACTTCCCAGAATCCCTAACCCTCGTTCCTCCTCCATCCCTAATTCATGCTCATTCGAATCCCGCTCACTTCCTCGATCTTCCTTTTCTTCTCCAACTACAACAACCGACTCCATGGAAATATTAATACCGTGTTTGATGGCCAACAATTCAGTCATAAAAGCATACCCAACACCAACACAATAAGAAAAAAAAAACAAAAGATATTGACCTAGTTCGTTGCCAATGATATCACATACCCCTCCAATATTACCAACATCCTTAACCGCTCCATCTACATTAAGTTCTAACCAACGGAAGGGGAAGAGTATTACACAAGATTTGTAACAGGGATACATGAGGTTTCTAAGTTGGATTTAGCCCTCACCAAATCTACTATAAAGTCATCAATGGGTAGCAGAGACTCCGGAAATTTAGTTAAACACCACCCGACAATGCAATATTTAACTGAAAGATTGATTGAGCTAAGTCGATGAATTTCCCTTAAAGATTAGATCATATCTAAAAAACCAAACAATCCATAAAATACCAAAGAGGAGAGATTTCTAAATCACATGTTGTTTAACGCGAGGTATGACCTCAAACCAAAGAGAAAAAAGATACTGGATCATTAGACAAATCAATGAAGATATTCCACAAAGTAAAGAAGTATGACCATACCTACCACGAGATATAACACGAGAAAAAATAAATATTGATGTGATCAAAATCAACCTTCAAACGCAACACCTATTAATGATGACATTGCATTCATCTTTGATCTTCATCAAGATGAAAGAAGAGGGAGTTTTCTAAATCCTTATTTATTTTCATGACTTATACTTTCATTCTTTAATTTTCATGACTATAGTCATATATTATGTTATGCGTATCATATCCTATGCTCTGAGCATCTTAATTAGTTTATGCTATGTCTTAAGCTATCATAACATATTCTCATTCATTATCATATGAGATACATGTTATTCTTAGTATAACCTACATTTTACATTTTTATGCTTTGCTATTATAAGCTTACTTAATATCTTTTACTTAGTTAATCTTTGTGTGTTTGTGTAAAGGTACATTCGACCATAAGGATGAAAGCTAGAATTAAGCTATCAAATGAAGCTCAAAGTTAGTGGAATCAATATAGGATAACTCTATGGAAGCTCACATTAAAAGTTAGGAAAAGTTGTCAGCTACCCTTAAGCTTATTGCTGGATTGAACTGAAAAAATGAGCTAGCTCAACTATTCAAATCAGCCGAGGAACTGAAGAGATGCAATCCTCTATCAATAGACACGTCTTTTACACAGTTACTTTTTACAGTTCGTGCCTTTTCACAAAGAGGTGCCTTTCCAGGACGTGCCTTTTCACCACAAACTGCCAAATACTTGATCATACTTCTATGCACCTATTGTCAATTCATAAGTAGCTTATTCATCTCTTAACATGCCTTTCCATGAAGGGTTTCCTCCAAGCAACATGAATATTCAACCAAGGCATAATGTTTATTCATTAAAGTCAATCGAATGGTCACATACACGCCTAAGAGATGATGAATATAATTATTCATGAACATTCACCCAAGAGAACCATTCATGAATGGCATGTCTATTCAAAGAACAAGGGAGTCGAATCATCTTATGTATGTTCATCCAAGGAAGTCGAATCATCATGTTCAAACAAGGGAGCTATGTTCATACATGGAAAATGAACCATCTCATGTACATACATCAAGGGAGCCAAATCTTCATAATGTAAGGAGAATGAATTTGACCAAGGGGAATGCAACTACCTTAGTTTATTAACAATCAAGTACAGTCACTCGTTAAGACATCAATGTTCACACCTAGTCGTGCATTGAACCTTAGAATCCTTAACACCTATAAATAATCATGCCTTTGGCTTGTAAAGGCAATCAATCAACAAATTTTAATCAAATTACTCTTTGTGAGGTTTCTCTCTTCAAATTTCTGATCTAAATTTTATTAACTTATCAATAATTCATACTTGTGGAGTCATCCCCATCTATTCACCTTTACACTTCTGGTTCCTAGATTTAATATCTAATGTGTTAAAGTCTTATCTACCACCCCTCAAAGAAGTCTTATATGGTATGGGGTTATGCTCATTATATCATAGTTTTTCCTTGATGACTTTGAGATATTATCTTCAAGTTCCATCACCATTGTTGAGCACCATCATCATCATCAAAGGATCTTCTTCAAGTCATTCAAATATATCATCATCTTCATCTTTTTCTTCCGTAACCAACTCTTATTTCTAATTCCTTATCATTTTATTATCTCATTTATTTCATTACATTTATATTATCTCTAAGTTAAACAATATTTATTATCAGTCCAAACTTTTGTTGCAAGAACAACACTTATTGTTCGTCCTAGAATGGGAACCAATCAAGGTAGCCCATTCTTCTTCATCCTTGGAAGAGTGTAGACAACCTTAGATCAAGTGGTATCAAAGCATTGATGGACCAAAAAATGAGTGCCTATTGAAAGTAAAATAAGTGCAAGCAACATAACAAAAAGAAAATAAAAACAAAAGAGAAAGAGAAGTGCAAAGTAAAGCAACAAAGAAGAAAAAAAAAGCAAAGGAATTCATCATTTCTCAAAAGTATTCAAAGTAAAAAACAAAAGGGAAGTTGCATTCAAAACAAGAAGTGGAAAGCACAAAATCTACCATCATCGACAGAACTTGAAGAAATATCCAAACTTGATTGTTTCTCGAGAATGGAGGCTGTAAGTGTTGTTCTTGTTTTGTAAGTCTCCAATTTCTTTCTTTTATTCCTTTTTATAAGCCTTCTTTTCATATTACATTTTCTGAAACATATGCACAAGATTAAAACTTGCCAAAGTCTTGAGTTAGTTCTTCCAAGAACATAACAAGAGATATAGAGAGGAAAAAGACAAAACAAGTGAATAAGATCAGAATAGGAGTTGCAAAAGCCAAATTTATATTCCTGGGTGCAAACATGAGTATTGAGTGGAATGAAATCTGAAACTTTTCTGTGGAGTGTTCTTGTGAGGTTTTGTTGAGCATAGTGGTAAGGTTTTAATTTTCTTTAATTATCTTACTAACGATAACTCAAGGTTCAGCTAATAATACCTACAATGGAGGAAAACCAAACTTACAACTACAAGCCATGATTAACGAAATAATACCCACTTTCAGAGAATAGTTCGTGCTTTACATGAAAGAATTGACCAAAGAGATGGCTCTCAACATGTTCGCAACAATTTCGGTCTTCAGTGTGAAGAGAACATTACATCGAGGATGATTTCCAAGAAGAAATTGAGGAAGCATCTTTACAAGGTTCCAGGCGAACCAATCCGATGATTCATGACAACATGAGCAACATACGAGTCAACATCCCATAATTCCAAGGAAAAACTGATCCGAAAGCATATTTAGATTGGGATGGAAAAGTGGAACATGTGTTTAAATGTCACAACTATTCAAAGATGAAGAAAGTTAGAATTGCAGCCATAGAGTTCATCGACTATGGCATAGTCTGGTGGAATCAATTAACGATAAGTTAGAGAATGAATTGTTGAATTATGTTTCGATATAAAACTTTTAAAGAAAAAATGTTTTTGGACTTGAATTGAATTTATTCAAGGTTTTAAAAAGGCTTCAAAAATAATTTAAAGTCCATTAAATTCGGATTTGAGCAAAAATGCTAAAGGGTGTCAAAGTGCATTTGTGCACCCCTGCAGTGCATCCATGCACCCCTGCAGTGCATCCATGCACCCCTGCAGTGCATCGATGCACCATGTAGTGCATCCATGCACTCCATTTCGAATGCAATTAGTGCATCAATGCACCCTGTTGTGCATCCATGCACCAAGGCTGCAACGGCTAGTTTATTTGAATTTAATGAAGGGGTATCGATGCACTTTGATAGTGCACTGATGCACCATGTATGGGCAGCCTTTTTGAGTAGAAAAATCATCCCCTAATGGTTTCAAAACATCCCCAATGGTTATATACGACATCAAACACATTCCATGCTATAAATACAAGCTAAGGACACTTGAAGAAGTAAGAGAACAACTATCCAAGCAATCAAACACAAGAGAAGAGCTTTTTATTCTTATTTTCATTTCTCTTTTAAATATTTGTTCTTGTGAGCTTAATTCTTGTAAACACCTACCTTAGAGAGGTTTTCTTGTACATTTTCCTTTCATTGTAAAGGGGAAAGGTTATAGTTTAGCCCGGAAAAACTAGGGAGTTGTAAGGTTATCTCTTTGTCCTCAAAAGAAAGAACAAATTAGTGAATTTGTTAGAAAATCCTTTGTAAGGAGCTAAGTAGTGGACGTAGACTTTGGATGAGAAAGTCAAACCACTATAAATCTCTGTGCAATTCTCTATCTTTCAATCTGCTTACTCCTTAAACACAAAATCGTTCCGACCCATCTTTGCAAACCGTTCCGGTTGTCGATTTGAGCTTACGAAAATCCCAACAATTGGCATCAGAGCCTAACTTGTTAGAAGTTTTAACCACCTTGAGATGATCCTAGAAGAAGCTCTACCAATTCCCGACCCAACCGAGAAGATGACTTCCACCTCTGGCTCATTCCACATGGAAGACTCCCTACCAAACGACAAGCCTCCATACTTCAATATATTTCAGTCTATGTGAATGTTGATATTTAAAAAAAAGTTGATTTTTGGCTTTTTGCTAGACTGTACATGGATGCTTAAGTTATCAAGATATGTGCGTTATTTGTTAGAGATGGGATTTATCTAAATTCACTTAGACCAGGAAAGATTAGTTGAATGCCCTCATTTATTTGATTGATTAAGGATGTTCAGAGTTCAGACCCACCATGTTACTCCTTATAATCATTGGAGTCTATAACTAATTTTGGTAAATGGATATCAATCACCTTTTCCTCTAAGGGAAATAGAATTCAGTAGCACGTTTGTTGCAAGTTTGA